GCCTGGCATAGGGCGTTATTTTTTTTCATGCAAACAACCATTTATTTTGTCTGTTTCGTTTTGTGTATTGATGTATTAAAATTTTGAATTAGATAAATTTTGGTTCAGTTTGGTTCTCGAGCAAAATCAATTTTAATCTTCTAATCTATAATGTACATGAACACGTATCATACATCTATGCATTAAATATTTTATAGGTGTTTGAAACATTAGTAATGTTATTGTATCCCCTAGGGAAAACGGACATAAATGTTAAAATTTCTCACAAGGTCTTTCAAACTAAATGAAAAAAACTTATGGATTTGTTTGTAAAATCTGACCAGCTATGTTCAGCCAACCAAATCATGGACATTTAAACCATAAATGTTTCGTACAAATGATTCCTGCAGATCACTCGCCAAATGCGCCCATCTTCTTTGCATCACTTGTTGGAAATTTATTTTTATACATACATGTAACTGCAAAATTTTCAGAACATATATTGAATAAAAACTTAGATATTCATAATCAAAAGTTTGACTTAAGGTTTTCAATCCCTAATAGGAACAAATTCAATGAATTTGAATACATAACAGATATGTAGGCATTGAATACTCAGTTTATTTAGACATGCTTCCCATATATTACTATTAGTACGTATAGTGGGATGTGTCCTAATTTATGACTTTGAATTTTGGTAAGAGTTATCTCCCCTTTCTTTAATTAATGAAAAAAATCATTTAAAAAAATTTAGATGGTAAAAAAATTGTTTTCAATTGTCATTCTATTTTCAATGTTTCGATGCATCTTTCCACCGCAGGATTTATTGAAAAACGCTTTTCCCCATAGACTTCAATGCAATTTTTGTTAATTAACTACTGCTTAATTAATGAAATTTGTAAAAAATTCTCGCAGGCAATCCTTTTCCACTATAAATTGCTTTAATATAATATCAGAGTATTATGTACTTGACGGACATTTAAGGGTAGGGAATTTGGTTAAGGATGGGAATCCTTAAGTCTGTTCTCAGTTTATGGTCACCGGGCCAGGTTTTGCTATGTGAAACATAAGTTCTGTCCGATCAAAAAATAGAAATAGGAGGCATACAAAGGCACCATATAATAAAGATTTTATGAAAGTTAAAATAATTTTTATTTAGTGGTAAGTAGGAGTAGTTGCAGATACACTGAAAGAAAAACCTAGTGAATTTAACTAGTGTGTTTCGTAAAGCGTTGGTCGTGATTAGTAAACTTTCAGTTTACTGGTTAAGATAGTGAGTTGTGGAGCGGGGGTCGTATAGATACTTAGATACTTAGTGAAAGTTACTCATCAATTCTAAATTTACTAATCTTATCTAGAAAATATACCAATATCTGGTAAAATTACTATTAAGGTAGTGATTGTATGGACAGTGAATCTACTAGTTTTCTTCGTGACATTAACTAGTTATTTTTTTACAGTGTAAGAAATGGGTATCATCGGTGGTGTAAACAATTGTATAGTGTCCATGATTTCTAGAGGAAACCCCAAAGTTTTGTTTTATTGTAACTTAAAATAGGGAGATGCACAGTGATGCAATGCAAGAATGATTCTGTGAAAGTTTCGTTAAATTTTTTAGTGATGTAGGAGGAGCTTAATTCAAATATAATTCAAATATAAGAGCTCGAGATGGGTTGGCGAAAGTGTTACAGACGGATAATAAAAAGTCCCGTAATACCAATGATGATGAATTAATAACAGAATACTATACGAGGAAGGGTAACACTTTAGGCTTCGATCATTTCGTAGTCTGTTCATAAAAATAAACTCATATTCTAGTATATCAGTAATTATTCTTGATTGAAATATTATTGTCTCCCATCGATATGATGACGTTTCTCAAGACTATTACCTGATCTTTGCCATTTCAACTATCAGCGGTTTATGCAAAGCATGCATGCATTGGCATGTACTATACTGACTCCTTTACCATGGCTCAGAGGGATGCTACATTTGGGGTCCTTGGTCAGCTATTAAATCAGAGAGCTTTTGTGCTGTTCTGGGTAAACATTAATACCCGTTTATAGATACACTGGCCGCACTTATCTGAGGTAATCACCCTCAGTCCAGATCCTGTCCAACTTTTATATACTATATAGCGCTAAATTATTCAATTTCAATTTCATTTATTGATTCATCAAATATATCGGTATGCATGTTAATTAAAGATATAAGTATGATTAATTGCATGTTCATTTAAATATATACATAAATGTATACATAAATGTATACATATTAGTGAAGTTAAGCTATTTTTGTCCCCCGCTTGAAAAGTGGAGGATATTAATTTGGGTTTGTCCGTTCGTCCGTCTAGCTGTCCGTCCGTCCGTCCGTCTTTCTGTCTGTAACGCTTTCGTTTCCACACGATATCTCGAGAACCCTTTGAGCTTTTGCAATGAAATTTAGCATAGCAACTCCCTATGGACTAAAGAAGACCCCTATTGATTTTGAGGTCAAAAGGTCACGGGTCAAGGTCATAAATAAGCAAATTCTGTCTGTTAAAACACTTTCGTTTCCACACGATATCTCTAGAACCATTTGAGCTATTGCAATGAAATTTTACATAACAACTCCCTGTGGCCTAATGAAGACCCCTAATGATTTTGAGGTCAAAAGGTCAAAGTTCAAGGTCGTAAATTTATACATTCTGTCTGTGTGTAACACTATCATTTCCGGGCGATATTTCAAGAAGATTTTGAGCTTATGCGATGTAATTTTATACCAAAACTCCCTAGGACGTCTCTCGCCCCTCTCAAAGTTTATTCTATTAGTATTTTTAGTATTATACATGTCGCTATTTTTAGCGCAGGTGCATGAGGAGAGTTATTGCGTATAAAACAGGTTCTCGGCGGACTTTATGTTCTTATTACATCTATTAGAACTGTTTAATAAACGCTAAATAAATAAAACACCATGGATTGTGTAAAATTTTGAGAATACCGAACATGAAAATATGAATATATACATGTATGTGACTTCAGTTCTGCACATACTTCATTCTGTGTAAAGCGACTCCGTGGTCTAGTGGTTAATGTCACTCGCTTCAAATGTGAGACGTCCAGGGATCGAATCTCGGCCGATCCTTTTTTTGTCCCCCGCTTGAAAAGTGGGGGATATTAATTTGGGTTTGTCCGTCCGTCCGTCCGTCCGTCTGTCCGTCCGTCCGTCCGTCTTTCTGTCTGTCTGTAACGCTTTCGTTTCCACACGATATCTCGAGAACCCATTGAGCTTTGGCAATGAAATTTAGCAAAGCAACTCCCTATGGACTAAAGAAGACCCCTATTGATTTTGAGGTCAAAAGGTCAAAGGTCAAGGTCATAAATAAGCAAAGTCTGTTATAACACTTTCGTTTCCACACGATATCTCTAGAACCATTTGAGCTATTGCAATGAAATTTTACATAACAACTCCCTGTGGCCTATGGAAGACCCCTATTGATTTTGAGGTCAAAAGGTCAAAGTTCAAGGTCGTAACTTTATACATTCTGTATGTGTGTAACACTATCATTTCCGGGCGATATTTCAAGAAGATTTTGAGCTTATGCAATGTAATTTTATACCAAAACTCCCTAGGACCTCTCTCACCCCTCTCAAAGTGCCCCGCCCCGTTTGTTTTATTTGTATTTATAGTATTACTTGTCGCTATTTTTAGCACAGGGGTGTGCGGAGAGTTATTGCGTATAAAACAGGTTCTCGGCGGATTTTATGTTCTTATAACATCTATTAGAACTGTTTAATAAAGGCTAAATAAATCAAACACCATGGATTGTGTAAAATTTTGACAATATCGAGCATGAATATATACATGCACGTGACTTCACTTCTGCATTTACGCGACGGGATTTAAAGAGCCTCCGTGGTCTAGAGGTATGTCTCCCGCTTCTAAAGTGAGAGGTCCCGGGATCGAATCTCGGACGACTCAATTTTTTTTTTCTTTTTTTTTTTTAAATGATAGTATTCAGCATGTGAAAAGAAGAATTTATGAGGTAATGAAAATCATTATTACAGTGTGATAAATATTCCATATAAAAATAATCTTCTATACACATAATAGAGAACAAGCAATCAAATCTTTATACGCATATTGACATACATGTATTTTATTTGCATCAGTATACATGTACATGTATATACATTTAATAAGTCAGGGGGATCCGACTTTTTCCCTAAGCGGGGGACACGAATTCCCTGAATTAGCTTGTTTTTTTTAATACTTTTCTTTTTTTTTTTTTTACTAAATGATAGTATTCAGCATGTGAAATGAAAAATTTATGAGGTTATAAAATCATCATTACAGTGTGATAAATATTCCATATAAAAAGAATCTTCTATACACATAATAAAGAATAAGCAATCAAATCTTTATATGCATATTGACATACATGTATTTTATTTGCTTCAGTATACATGTATACATTTAATAATTCTACAAATTCAGTCAGGGGGAGCCGACTTTTTCCCTAAGCGGGGGACATGAATTCTCTGAATTAGCTTGTTTATCTTAAATCTGACTGGACCGATTTGGGGGTTTCCATATAGCAATAAATACGGACTTTGCTACTGTTCTCATATATGAGCGGGGGTATCTTTTCTTTTTAACTCAGTGCTCACAGTACCTCTAGTTTTACTAATACATTAGGGGCCTGCTTAGACTCTTTATTCGCTTCTCATATTATCTTATTTGAATAATTCAACTTATACTTTGTATAGCCATCATTGATTGGAGATCTTTAAAATAATTCATTTCATTTGAGAAGAAAACTTCAATCAGACACTGATAAATTTCCAGACAAACAGTAAATACATAGATTTAAAATCATTGTTTAATTTGTTACGTAAGAAAGATCAATTTATAATTAAACCAGATTTTTACACCCTTCAAACCAATCTCGATCTGCCATTAGCCAATGGTGGATAATAAATCGTCTCTCAATTGCCTGTCAAATCTTGGGAAAAGAGTAAAGAGTGAAAAAAGTATTTTATGTACACAAAGCGCTCGTATCAATTTCTTGTGTAGTGAAACTTAAGGTTTAAATCAAATTCAATAGAAACTCGCCACGCGGTTGATAAGTTTTATAGTTCTTCACTTTTGGCGAATCAACTTAAGAAGGATTTTAGCAAACATATAGAGAACATTTATATGGGCTATCGGGGTCCCCCGATTGTCTGGGATGGAGACCGATTGATCTTGGTAAGTGTTGAACATTTTGTAGATTAAATATATTTATGTTTTCTGTCATCGTCATTTTAAAAAAAATAAATCGATTTAGAATTTCATGAAAGTTAAAGATGAAAAATTATTATCATGACAGCGAATCTATAATTTAATAAATTACTAGTAATATAAATGTGTTCACAGAAAATAAAGTTCAGAATGCTTCTGTATTTATATTTCCTTCAAATTTATATTGTACATAATATGTGTATGTTTATAATACATTCTGTCTCTCGGTGGCAATGGATATGTAATGCTTAACTCGGGCTTCACGCACATATGAAAAAATGCAAACTTATTTAGAATTCAATCGAGGATTGTTGATACGTTTATTTGTACCCTGGTTTTCTATACAAATCCTATCAAAAACATGTTTGGCATTTTGTATTATTTTTCACAGGGAAATTTATATGCTCTCTAAGTTTCAAAATTGAAACAATTAAAACTCGGATTGCTATAATTAAGTTTCATAATCAACATTTATTCATTTTACAAAGCATGTTAAATGGGTATTTGTTTTTCTGTAATTTTACTGCAGTTTGTTGATTAAGCATTAGAAACAGCCTGTATTTATCCAGGGTGCCGCCGTTCATTCTTTGACACGTGCGAGATCAATATACATCTATTTACATTCGTTTTTCTGTTTGCCAAGCAAAGACAAATTTCTTTTTAAAATTGCTTCGATTTCCAATTGCACTAGTGTGTTTTGTTAAAATTACACTCAAATGAACTGTTTATTTTTCAGTTCAGCCTTCTTTGCACCAATACTCGAACTCCTAATTTCGGTTTTTGGATCTATCAAAGGTACATAAATTTCATACTGCATGTTCATATTATCTGAAGACGACCCAGATGAATACTAATAGATCTATAAAAACTTTGAGAATATTTACTTATCAGATTTTGTTTCATTGTATAGGTATTTCAGGTGATATCAACTCTGTTTGTTTTAGAGTAATAGTTCTTCCTGCTCCATAATTCACCCCCACCTCTGATCTTTTAAACGATGTTGATTCCAATTCAAACAATCTGACATGGATAACTTCACATAACCTCCATGATTCTTTTTCTTATGATCCACGAAACAACCTAATTGAAGAATGTTATTTCCTTCTGCTATGTTGACCGGTCTTTCTAGTTTCGGATTTCTTGATTACTACTTGGTTTTGGCATTATATACTCAGCTATCCTCAAACCTTGAAACAGTATATAATGGTAACGTTTTGTGTTTAACGCAGGGTGGTAAAATATTGATAAGCAGGGGTTTTTTTTTCAGTAGATCAAATCCCAGATTTTCATTACTCAATCACAAGAAACAATAAAAAAGAGAAACATAAAACGCCTTGCTTCGGAAGTCATGAAAGCATACCCAGTTAGAATAGATCTTTTTCTTTTTAAATACAACCTTTAACTACACCGAAAACCCAAACATCTGATCGACATTAAGCATAATGCTGAAAGAAATTATAGTTCATGATTTTAAAATTCTACTTTAAATTTAAATTAATTTCTTAATCGTCTTCCGGTCTTAAACACATTAAAAGTTAATTTGGTTTTTAAATAAGCTATCATTTATAATTGTATTATAGTATGCCCTAAGAATATTCTCAAGTCTCGGTGTTGATTGAATGCCAGAAGGTCGTCCAAACAGCAAATACTTTTTTTTTAATGAGAACTGATTTTTCTGTTAATGCCCTGTTCACACGACGAGTTTAATTCGCAGTAAATTAATGCGAAGTAAACTAATGCGAATCAAATTAATGCGAATTAAATTGCGTTCACACGACAGCTAATGCGAAGTAAACTAATGCGAATTAATTTTTTTCTTCTACAGTCAGGCGTCAGTAAGTCTATTATGACGTCATTTGTAAATCACGTCATGTATGCAGAGCCATCCTTTGATACATCATGTAGTGGCTACAGGTATTCATTGATTTTCGTGATTAACATACTTTCCCTCAATTTTTGAACCAAATATAGCACAAATACCTATATATAACCACCAACACGTGTCCTGTGACTTAATTCTGGCCTTACGCATGCGTCAAAATTTAATTCGAATTAGCTTCGCTTAGCGTTCACACGGAGCTAATGCGAAGTAATTTAATGCGCAGTAAATTAATTCGAATCAAACTAATTCGCATTAAATTCTCCATGTGAACGCTAAGCGAAGCTAATTCGCAGTAACTTTACGTTTAATTCGAATTAAACTCTCCGTGTGAACAGGGCATAAGTCTTTTATAAAACTAAAATCTGACTGAAGTAAAATCTAACAACCGATTTGTCGCCATTTCCACGTGAGTAGAGGTATACCAATATGTACATAAATGAGTTGCTTGGAATTCTAAAGCACAAATTGCAAAGTTTAAAATTTCACTGGCTCGTAATTTAAAAGTAATTTATAAGTATCGATTTGTCAATAGTATTTGGGTAACGTTTTGTGAAGAAGGGCGCAGGAACCTAAGAATCGGATTATAGAGGTTTGGTAAAGCCTCGGGTAGACCGCCTGTGTATTGGGGTGAAAATTGACTTAGATTACAACTCAAAAGAACGTAGATAAACAGACTTAACGTGAAGGCAAATCAGCTCTGTTCTCCAAAGTCTCCGTTATCTTATGGAATGGTGTCAGTTTTCTTGACGGATTATTTCGTTAATTTATGTTACTGAGGTTTTAAAATGTAAATCAGTTAAACTGACAGAGGTAAGATATTTATTGCATCTTATTTGAAAAAAGTTATATGCTTTGGATTTGTCAATCCTTCAAAGATATGTTTAAGACAACTGAGGGACTCTCTCTCTCTCTCTCTCTCCTTTAACGCGTTCTGATTATTTTCGAAAGTAAAAACAAAAAGAAATCCCCCTTAAAACAAAGAATGTTAAACTTAAAAGACTTTTGAAAATATATACTAACTTAAAGTATACACAATAGTTGGTGCCATTTAAATTATTTCTTATTGTCAAACTAATAATTTCGATCCTGGCAGCAACGTTCTGTTTTACATATGGTGTTCCATTTTGGCATGGTAAATTCAATTTTAAAAGTCTTGAACAATTATTTCTAAATAAGAAAAGCACAAATGTCCTTTTTGGCTAGGATCTTTATCGAGTCAATAGTCATTAGGCGCCATAATTGCAATTCTTTAGGAAGTCTATACTCGAAGGAAATACCAAAGAAAATATTTAGAATGGAGGACTTTACTGTGTTCAGTATATAAAGGCAATTCATATATTATAAACCACTTCACATTAAATGCCATTTAATGATATGTAGTTGTAAATTCTCAATACTTTAGTATTGTCAGACATTTCTAACTGCTACAGATTTCTGGTAATACACATGTTTGAAAAGAGGCGTCGTTATTTTTGGCATTTAAAAATCAATTTAAAATAGGATCGTAGATGGTAAAGTCTCATTTCGCACAAGTTCTTCCTTCAGCATTTACATTCAGTTTCTAAGAAAAGGAAAAACTCCACACCCATATAAACAAGATGTATTCTTGATTTGTTTGTTAAGGAATTTGTTTCATTCAAATGAAATTATACTTTAAACATGAGACTCGAAGATTTTGGCGTTATTTTTTAATACATACTGTTCTCAGTACATGTATCTGGCCATATGGTAGCATATAAATATTTCATTAATAGTACTGTTTGACCTATCAACTCATTGATTTGTAGGACAATCCATGAAAAATTTGTCAGTTTTGCAATCTGTTGTAATATTCTCTTTTTAGACTTAAAAAAACCCTCCATCATGCATTGGGAGAAAACTACGGAAGATAGAAGGTCACCTAGATCACCGCGCATGCTTACTCGAAAGACTAAGTCTGCAAGAGAGTTGTATCGCCCTGCTATTAAAGACCTAAGTGAAGAAACTAGGAAGATTTACCCCGGTATTCCATTAAAATATTAACGTTTTGTACAGGGAAGTTCATCCATATTTAGTTTTTACTAGAAGACTTTAATGGTAACCCAACGACACAATTTTATGATAAACATTATGATTTCAATATTTCTATCATCAGATTCCCTTACCTAAGTAGTAATATACCATTATCACTCTCGAATGAATTTTATGTCTCCCAGTTGATTCAATACGCAAGAGCATGCGTACGAACAATTTCAAAAGGAAGGCAAGTTACTGACAAAATAAGTTAACAGAGCAAAGATATAAACAGTCTCGTTTAAAGCCATGACTTTTCAATGTCGAAACAAAGACCTTGTCAGCAAATACACTTAATCATAAGGTCGAATGCCCACAAATATTATTAACACTATTTATAAGACCACTTTAAATTGTCAATGAATGCCTATTCCTCTATGGTACTTGATCCCAGAAATGATGATTGTAGAGGATTGGGAATGCCATTGTTACTGTGTCAATCCACCTTTGAGCTTAAGTACTATTCGCTATCACCATATATTTCAATTCAAGAAATTTTGAAAAAAAGCTAAAATTGATAATTGACAACTAAAATTGATAACTGACAATTATAGGTTTATTCTTGACCAATTGCAAGTATTTAAAGTAATTGAAATGATTAAAAATGACATATTGATACTAAACATGTATTGATACACAGCACCAAATGTTCCCTGTCCTGACCATACACTCTGTATACCAGATGATGATGACATAAGGATAAGGATAGGATATTGCAACATATAAGAACAACTATATGAATGAACAATTCTTGCTATCAAAACCATTACAATGAGTATTTAATGAAAATGTTTAATACCACACTTTTCACTTTATAAAGATGAAAACGAGGATCCATTCATGGCACCGGGTCCAGCTGTAAGTGAACCAGATCTGTATGCAAGGGCACTCACAGATCGTGACAACGCAACCGAGAATTCACCGGAAGTGACGACATTACAACCGGCCTTCTCTATAAATCAGCGCATCCAGGCGGCGGTGATCGAAACGGAATGCTACCGGAACAGGATGCCCACATCAGCATCTAACCGACTGCGTCTTCTCAACACATTCAAACGTCCTAGAAGTGTGGACAGTTACTTTGCTTCCCCCTACCAAAACGAGGCTCCCCTTGATCAAAGTATTCACATCACAAACTTGCCTAATGTTCATCATGTTCACAAGCCACACCGAAAAAGAAATGCACCGTTACAAAGGTGATCACTATAAAAACCCTCTTGTCATATATACATGCTTCCTACTCAGTTTGATTTTTTATTTCAAATTGAATGCAATTTTATAAATTTATTCAAGGCATGCTGCTATAATAAATATCAATTGACGGAGTAACGCAAGGTATACTTTTTAATATTAATTAAGTGTTTATGTCATCATTTATTCCAGCACAACAACTCAAACTTATGAAAATTTTCACAGACCACAAATTCGTCATGTGATACAAAATGGGACTATGCTCTCAGACGGAAGTACGGGGAAGATAAGTGGTTTTCACGAGTATCTCATAAGTAAACACCCAACAGTGAAACAAAGAATAGCCTCTTGGCTGACTGATGGACTGAAGGTACAAAGTATCAGGCTACGAAACAGTCAGAGAGAGAAAATATCAAATCAAAAAGCACCAGGAAAGTTGAGAACTAATTTGACAGAAAGAAAATTGTTCATTCACAGGGACTTAACAGATCTGGAGGCAGAGGGGGAAGAAATTGAAAGTAAAATTTTCGAACTTAGAATTTCTTCTTTGCAACCTTCGGGATGACCAACTTCTCTTTCTTTTTCTTCAGTCATTAAATGTGCACTTGTCTGTAATTTATTTGTGGAAATAGATTAATGAAAAATGTTTAAATTTTTATATTCTTCAATAATTGAATACAATTTTATGAGAGCATTTCATATGTCCTTCATAATGTAAATGGAGTGTAACAGTATTGATGCTGATAAATAATTCCAGAAAAGACTGTTAGCTTTAAATGCAGAGTATTTTGTTCTTTTTTTATTTTTTGGTAGAATGGTGCATATATCAAATAAATTTTATCCTTTTTTAAGCAGCAAGAAAAATAGAAATAAATTCTAAGGTGTTCTGTTTTTTAAAACTCTTTTTATTTTGAGATTTTCTCTACTGACGCGTTCCTTGCATAATTTTACATGTAAGTGTATAAATAGCTGCATCGAGTTTGGCTGATTAGAATACTTCTTCACATTTAGTAAAAATTGAAAGAATGATATACAAGTGTGGTGAAAAAAATACTTGTTTTATATCTTTCTTATAACAAGTTAATATTTGAAAAACCATATAATTTTGAATTTACATGGAAGAAGAGCACTACATGCATTGGTACAGTGTAAGTTAATGTATTGTTCAAGAAAAACAATTTATACATGTATATGGCTTTTTTATTATTATCAATATTATTTTCACAACAATAACACGACGAGGAGTGAAACCCCTTGGTGTTGGTTGACTTTTATTGGTTGAACCATAGGCATGCATAATAAAGGCTTTTAGAGGCATTTCCAATATTAAACTCAGCATAATCTTAATGAGCATATCTTCTGTTGATGTCAGCGTTTACCTTCAGATCGACAGTATTGGTTTTATTTTCTCTGGGGACTTTTCACATGACACCAGTATTTATTAAATATCACCAATCATTTTTTCCAAGAAGGCATTGGAATAGAGATCCTGAAAAGTAAGCATTTAAATTTATCAGAAATTTTGTTGAGTTGACTTTTTAGAAATGAAATGTTACTTTTTCTATCGCTAAATATCTGTAGGTTCCTTAAAATTTAGTCAAAGTATGGTCAATAGTTGAGCAAATTATCTAAATCTTATTAAAGAATACCTTTTTTAGAAATCTCTTTTTTAAACGAAGGCTGATCGAAAAGGTATGTCACTTAAATTATCAAATATTATCAACAAAATTTGACTTACTATGTCCCCCTTTTTAAAGATTTTTGCTCTAACATTTTATATAAAGTACTTTTTAAATTTAATTGAGATAAATACATACTTAGGATTTTTCTACCACCGCAAAATAAGAATGCTATCGTACTTTCAGACAATCATTTTCAGTTTATGCGTATATCTTTGATAACCTCTCGCGTGCTCCGTTCTTATAAAATATTACTAGTACTTTACTTTAATCCGCCTTGATTTGATTTGTAGCATACAAATGTTCCTCCTCACAATGTCAGGTGCCCTGTGTTAACTTTGCCTTTGGACTTCTGCTAAAATTCATTTATTTCTTCTTTTAATGAAAAGTAATAATCAAACTGAAGTAGTCGATATACACAGAGAAGAATCAATTTACACCTAAAAATGCGCATGAATACACAATGTTGATCAACCAAAACTTTAAATTTGAATGTTTTAAAGATACAAAAATCAAAAAAAAAAAATTCCGAAAAATATCACAGCAGTCAGTCCATAAGACATCAAACGTATTTTGTCAATGGTCCAACAGCAACAAGTTGATACAAGACCCCCGAAGTTGTGAGGATTTAAAATAACTTGTGAACTTTGTCCAGATGCTATATATAAATTCATTCCTTTTTGAGTAAATCTTTGATCCTCCACTTTCAAAATTAGTGATCACGAGAAACGTCATAGGGTTGTCTTTTTTAAACATTCCTTTCTTCTTCTTCTCCTTCTTTTATCATTCTTGCCTTTCTGCAGTAGACAAGACCCATGGTTGTATTTATTATACCTCCCCCCCCCCCCCCGCTTAAAAAGTGAGAGGGTATATCGTGATTGGTATGTCCGACCGCCATTCCGTCCGTCTGTTACGCTCTGGGGTATCCATCTCTTATCCGCAACTCCCCCATACCACAATTTGAAATTTAATGATACTTTCACAGTTTTTTAATTACATAATGCAATTGTGCACCTCCTACTTTACTTTTTGATTTGACACTTATTTCGGGTGTTCCAGAGCAAAATGAACCTTCCCATCATAATCATATGGGAGGCCCGGGGGTATCATATAGTGAGCTCAGTGCTCACAGTATATTTAGTTTTAATATTCTTTAAAGTTGTGCGTATATCTAAGCATAAAGTTGAAAATAGGTAGAGACAGAGTCTATGCCATTTTGTTAAAAACTTTATATATCTAATGATTTTATAGCAGTTCCTTTGTCCATCCGTCCGTCTGTCCTATAGTCATTGGGATACTGTTGAGTTAAAATTGTATAAGTAAGCAAATTTTTTTTTTCTCGACTTGACAAGAAGGCCAATGTTGTTCTCGGCTTTTGTGATGTTCAGTTGTTCCGTTAGTTCATTATTGTCACATCGACAAAGGCTCATGAATCTCGACGATAAAATGGGACATTTAATTTTAGCTTAAATATATACTGACTATGACTTCTATGAGAAAATATTATTCCGCTGAATCTCCATGGAATTTTCTTTTGGTCATATTGATAATGGTCCTAAGATATTCAAAGGAAATATTATTAAATGAAATCAGTCTATACTTGCGTTCCGAGGAAAACTTGTATTTTAAAATATGTCCTCGACTATATAATATACATCTATACCTGACATTGAATTGTTACAGGATTAAGAGGAGTTCTGTTTGCATGGACATTCTCTTAATATTCGATTCATTAAAGTGGCTTATTTAAAATTTATGAAATCACGCCAAAGATCGCTCATCGTAAAAACCTTCCGGTCAGTTTAATAAGTTTGATAAATCAATTCAATAAATTATCGCCTGCTGTAATTATCATGGCGGTAAATGCAAATTAATTTGACAACCACGTGAGTGTCACGGTTTGCGTGCATGATGCTGCATTTAACCATAAATATGTCCTTTCTGGAAGATTTTATTTCGTCGAATAAACCCTGCAACGTGACTGATTTAAAGTAGTCATTTTGCAGAAGATTTTTTATAATAAAATCTATCAGTAAGGACAAGAAGGTTAAAAGTGAAGGAATGTGGACTAATGCTACTCCTTTAGCTATAGGTATAGGATTGCAAGTGCGGATCCAAGAATGTTTTCGAGGGAGATACGTTACTAGTTTACAGTAACTGGGAAAAGCGAAGAAAATGAGCTGAATGAAATAGCAAATAACTTTGCCATTGATAAAATATCTTGTGAAATTTTAGCGTTTATTAACCAATTCTAATTCATATATATTTTATTCTATGTATGTTTTTTTTCTTGGGTGGGGGTGTTAGGGGGTTATAATCCAGTTTCAATTTCAGTTGAAGGACACAACCTTTCAGAAAAGCTTTAACAAGCAAAAATAACTGAATTTAAATATGAGTCAACAAACTTTATCATTTAGAATCTTTGTTACAATGAAGCGCATTGAAGTGGTAAAATTTTCCATTTGGACGAAACGTTCTGAGTCATGTTTTGAACGTCAATTATAACATAACGACACGCCCATTTCTTTAGAAACGAGAAAGGAATATCCGTCGTAATGTTTTAGGACACTACACTTCCCGCGACAAGCAACATGAGTTACATTGAAATTAAGAGTTTTAAATAAGAAAGAGCTATGTATAGAGTTCCCGCTTATGTAAAACGCGCATTGCAACGAATTTGTCCATAATTATGATTTTATCATGTTTATTGGAGTTAACATAGCACATGTATCAGTCGAACACGTGCTTACTCGGTGTTTATGTAAACGTCAATTTCATTGGATGTTATATTTATGAAATACCTGTTCTACAGGTATTCGATTGAATCATTTCACCGAGTTTTCCTTTCAAAAGAAATGGGCGTGTCTAAAGATAGCTCAAAACGTTCCATCCAAACAGTAAATTTTACCACTTCAATGCGCTTCATTGTACATGGTGCCATTGTTCACCTCCTATTTTACTTTTAGATAGAACACATATTTTGGGTTTCCTAGAGCAAAACATGGACACGGCCAATCTTTCTGTAGTATTGAAGGGTACCATCTCTTATCGCAACTACTCCTATGCCAATAAATGAAATTAAATGATACTTCCACAGATTCTTAGTTACATACTGCCACTGTGCACCTCCTATTTTACTTTTTGATCTGGCACTTATTTCAGGTTTCTTAGAACAAAACATGGACTTTGCCATTATAACCATATTGGAGGCGGGGGTTCAATTAGTTAGCTCATTGCTCGCAGTACCTCTAGTTTAGATACTAGTACATATATCGAAGACTTTTATCAATTAACAATACTCATTTTCATATCTACCTTGATCCAATATATATCTTTGAATTCAAATTAAAAGACATGATGGAGACTGACATACATTACATATTTGGATATTTTACAAGAAAAAGAACCAAATGATAACCTAACAACAAAACTTTATGATCGATAAATGTAATGACTTCAACTTTTCTATCGTCAAATTCCCATATTTTATTAGCAACATACGAAGAGCACCTGTATTTGAAAAGTTTATGAATCAATTAGCAAGTACATGCAATATCTAAAACGAAAAAAGCTATTGACAAATAATGTGATAAAACAAGGAAATCAACAGTCTTATTTTAAGTCAACATTTTGCAAAATCTATGGACGGTATATTTATGATATTAACGTAACATACAGAAGTATTTTACCGTTATTTCAAATGCTGGCTGGTGTTTTTCTTTTAAATTGTTGTGCCATTATTTTTATCTAGCACCTGATACTACCTCTGATTTTTTTTTCGGGTCCCTTGTTTATTCTTCTCCCAGTTTGTATTGTTCCATTTTTGCCTGACTACTTCTTTTATATTTGAGGATCATCACTGATACATATTGCAATAAAATTATTATATTTTAAGCGCATCTAATCTATTGTGACAAACTAACAGCTGCCCGAAAAGAAGA